GTGAACACGAAGAGGAAAATGGTTTGGTGGAGCGGCTTGAATATTCAGTGTTTTCTTACATTCTTCGCTCGAAGAGAATCTGTTCGAAAAACCAGGACCTGTGGGACTCTGGGACGCCCCTGATTCACCTCTAAGAAGCGCCTCTTGTAGAGACCTCGAACGGGATTCCCATACCCACGCAGTATGTGGATCACGTGCACGTCAGCAGGGACACAGACACAGTGGTCCCAACAGGTAGACGTGTTCCGTGTTTTGCGGCATGTTCGGTTTGAGAAACGGCTTGGGAGTGGTGGGATTGCCGATTGGGAGGAAATTTTCCACGGCATCCGCAAAAAGACCATCGCTGTCGAACTGGTGACATGTCGGTGAAGCCAACCAACTTCAGGTGCATGTGTAAAGAGAAGTCCGAGCGGCCTAGGGCCTAGGGTGTTCTGCCCGGGCTGGGCTGCTGGCCGCCCCCTCCGTTTCGGTAGGCCAGAGTGGTGAGTGGTGGGGGGGTCGGCCTCAAAGTACCTCCGAACATATGGGTAACAGTCGTACCTGTTTTTTGTTTGGGTCACGGGTTAATGTCTGTTCTGCTCGAAGTCGGTGTCCACCTTCTTTTTCGAAGGTGTGGTACAGTAGTAGCAAGGACGCTACGCCAATACTACAATAACGAGAAGCTACTATAGTAGCTATATGCTACTAGTAGCAAGGCAGGAGTGGGCCCTCGAACCTCGGAAGCAGCGTCAAATCCACCTGAGAGGCTCTTTGCTGGAGCTGAAGCTTCAGGAGGGTCGCTGGCAGCTCTTTGTGGACCATCAGAGCCAGGGTTCCCGGCGCCTGGCGCAGCGCGCCGGTCGCCCTTTCCGTTCGGGCCATTCAGACTCGCCGCCAACCTCTGGTTCGATGCGACTGGGGTGGGTGCCACTGGGTGCTACAAGTGCCCTCCAATCCTGAGGAGATCGGACGAACGAGCCCTGGTCGGGATTTTACACCTTGAACAGCGTAGGTCGAGACTCACGTTCGGCTGAGGCATGTAAGTCGACCTGCACCTGCTTTCAGGGTATATGGAAGTTCTTCCCCATGAAAACGCGCTCTCCCTGGATGGACGGAAACACACCACCGCTCTGGTCGAGATCGAACAAAAGACGTGGTGAACGGGAGCTCCGGCAGACACTTCCTTTGCAACATAAACTACCAGGAGACACAGGACAGGGTGCCGAACTTGGAGGATAGGGGTGCCCACTATCCACGGCCCCTGGATGGGACTAAAAACCACCCCGTCGAACGTGACTCCTGGTATAGAGTCATATAGATCGAGTCATTTGGATTTTCCAAAAACTCCATGTCAGCTGCTGGTGAGCCATCTTCTGAGTTCTCCATCTCCCCATGATCTCCATCTCAGTCACCAGGCGGCCTCACCAAGGCCATGGCCATGGCTCCAACCATCTGAACCGACCGGGTCCGCTAAGACGAGTTCCGCTATGACACCTGTCCGAAGCACCGCCTGAGGCATTGCTGCGCTGAGTAGCAGGTGGGCGCAGATGCTCGCGGCGAGCCGCCTTCACTCCGGCTCACTGGACTCGAACAGCAGCTCCATGGATGAATCATGTGGTATAGGTTGAGGGTGTCTTGAGAATGAGGGTCCTACAGTTTCCAAACCACCTCTTTGAGGTATTTGAATAGGTGTTTCATGACCCTCCACCCAACACCTTTTGAGTCGGGTGAAGATGGGTGTGTACCTTCTGAGGAACTGCAAGTGACCCTTTGTTTCGTGCCACACAGGCCCGTGCCAGTGACCGAACCAACTGGGATATGACCCGTTCGTTCACGAACTGAAGAACCGTAACATCGCGGCTGGATCAATGGGGTCGTAACACAATGCAATCATCAACAAAAACGGGTGTTCACCTCTATATGTGTCCTTTGCTGGGAACTTCATCCAGGGATACCCGCCTAGCTTAACTCAAGGAAAATGGCTTGGTACCGTGTTTCAGACCGACAGATGGGCCCCCTATGTCGTGGGCAGGGCGAGCACGGCTGGCTTAGCCATCACCGGATCTTGACCGGATCCCGTTTGCCCGAGCACTGGTCCGCCAGCTCCGATTTGCAGGACCGGCACCAAGTCCGGCTTTTTTTTGGACAACCTCCAATGTTCTCACGGAGGGTGCTGGTATGTGGCTATTGGGGAAGGGAGTGTGGGATACCTCAGAAGGCATTTAGACCCTCCTGGCACCCACCCCAAACACCTTCTCAGAAGGTACTTGGAGGCATAGGGATAAGGAAAAACTGCAACTATATTGCGTCACTGCTTGGGTTTGGAGAACGGCGCATGGGCGACGCTTTTTTGGCAGGGCGGCGCAATTGCCTGGGCCCGTCTCTTTGCTGGGTCAGGAGAGGGGCGTCAACAACTGGGGGATTGATTGATCTACACTCCTTCAGGTCTAAGAAAGCAAGCCACAGGAAAATGTTCGAAAGATAAGTCGTTTTCTTCCACGCTATATCTTCATGTGGAGGGTAGGCAATAGAAATCCGCAAGTCCAGGCTATCCGAGTGCAGAATTTCTACCTGCACCATCATTATCCTGGTTTCTTAAGGTTATTTCTTTTATGTTCCCCTATGGTTCAATCTTCTTCTGGGGAAGATTATTTTCCTGCTACTGGACAGCAAATCCAAGTGATTCGGGGTGCTGGCGCCCGAATACCCTGCACTGCTCGACTACCTGGATCTCCACATCCGGGATCTCCAGTCCTGGTAGGTGAGTGAATGCCACGGTGGGGAGCGCTTGTTCCCACCGAGCAGTGTGAGTTCTTGTCCCTGCACCAGTGGCTGAGTTCTTGTCCCAGTTTTCCGAGTCGACCCCGAGGTGTTTGCCACATGGAACTGAAACCATACCTGCCACGCATGGTTTCGAAGCAGTTTGGGTGAAAAGGATCAGGTTGACTTGCTCAACATCAGAAGGAAAAGGCGCCCCAAAAGAATGAAGAACCCAAATCCACGATATAATTGTACATGTAAGGTACGCCTTCAAACAAATATTCTCTATGCTTGGATGATCTATTAAAGATTGTTGGTGCAATGATTTCATGAGAGTGTATGACATTGAATAGTTGCCCTGGAGAGTGTAGGATGGTGTGAAACCAGACACTGACATTGCTACCAGCTCCACGGCCGATGGGGCCAGCAGGAGCGGGCGCCGGTGTCTTCGGAGGCGCCGTTGGTGCTTCTTCTCGGGTGGATTGGTCGATCGAAGAGGGAGGACCGGACGGTTCGAAGAGGACGGTTTGCAGTCCTTTGGTTGGAACTCATTCGAACAAAGGAATTGTCCATGAATTGCTTCATTTCTGAAGTGGGGTGGGGTGCGTGGTAAGGTGCTGTACAGGGTGTGATTGGCATCTTTCCTGTAATTAAGTTGCATTTCAACAAGCTGAGTGCTGGACGTATTGTTGTAGGGCTAAATGCAATTGCAGATACAGTACTTGTTTAGTGAACACTTTGAAGATGGTTGCTAACTTCATCAGCAGTCGACCATTCAATCTGTCAAACAGTGCCCTTATAGTGACGGACAGAACATATGTTGGAACAACTGTTTTCAAAAGTTGCCCTAGTAAGAGATGTTCTAAGCGTAAGGCTAAGAATATTGTAGCAATGCAACGTTCTAAGTAATGAGTCAACACATTGAGTAAATTTGTCCTTTTCTAAGAAACGGGGATTTGAGCATGTTCAAACTCAATCAGGCAGAACATGGCAATGTTCTGTGAAAAACGTCCTTTTGTTCTAAGTCAAGAGTTTTTGATTTTGGACAAATATGTAATAGTGCGTCACTATCTATATATACACAGCGTGCACGTCGCAACTCAAGCCAACACAAAGTCGGAAAAAATACTCGATTTCAGCTTCCACCAGGCATGAAATAGGTCGTGATGCCTGCCTTTCTAAAATGGGTTGAGCATGTAGGTCCCGGCCGATCCACTTATAACGGCCATCAATTCGTTTTCTGGCTGTGGGTTCAGACACTGCGCCATGGGATGTTGCAACCTCCTGTTCTTCTCCTCCCCATGGCTCCATGAGCAGACCTCACCTCCCCCCCCCAATCCATGCCGGGCCTGCCATGGCCGCCCCCTCCATTTCGCTTCGGTGGTTCGGTGGTTCGGTGGTTCGGGTCGGGAGGTGCAGCCTGGAGGGATCCAAAGTACTTGCCAGGAGTGAACACCCCAGGCCTCTCGAGGTCTCGGAGTTTTTGGGAGTTAGAGAGCACGTCTGACAGGTCCACCGGAGGATGAGAAGCACTGAACTGACAGAACTGACACCTGCCTTGCACTGGAAAATGGGTGCCCTGTTTGGAGACCTATAAAGGTAGGCCAGGGTTGTCCGTTGGTGACCCGTTGGAAGCACCTGGTGCGTTTGTTTTTTCCCCAAACAGTTTACTGTTAGGGGTTCTCAATTCTTTCTTACGATGTGTCCGCCCTTTGTGTCACTGCTGGTGTCCGCCCTTTTCCGCTGGCGATGCAACATTCCAGGTTTGGTGCCTGCACTGCTGGCATCCGCCCTTTTCCCCTTTCCAGCATTTCTATTCATTTGTCTCCCAGGTGATTTCTGTACTTCCCCCTAGGGGTTCTATAAATGCTTTCTAAGAGTGTCCGCCTTGCTGCCGGACTCTGGCTTGGTCTCCCTTGGTCTCCCTTCTTGATGGTCACTGTGTCCGCCTTGTCTCCCTTCATTCTTTCTTTGTCTCTGGTCTTGTCTCCCTTCTTGTGGGTCATTGTGTCCGTCCTGTCTCCCTTCTGTTTCCTTTTGTCTCCCTTCTTGTCTCCCTGCTTGTTGATCATTGTGTCCGTTTTGTCTCCCTTCTGTTATCTTTTGTCTCCTTTTTGTCTCCCTCTTATTGGTCATTGTGTTCGCCTTGTCTTCCTTCTGTTTCTTTTTGTCTCTATCTTGTTGTTGGTCACTGTGTCCGTCTTGTCTCCCTTTGTCTCCGGTCTTGTCTCCCTTCTTGTTGGGCACTGTGTCCGTTTTGTTTCCCTCCCTTGTTGTCCCCCTTCTTGTTTGTCATTGTGTCCGCCTTGTCTTCCTTCTTTCCTTTACATGTGCCTCCTCTCTCCCCCTCTCGCTTGCAACCCTTCACATTTGTCTCCCAGCTGCTCTGCCCTGCAATCCTTTACGTTTGTCTCCCAGCTCTGGGCTGCGTGTTGCTTGTAATCCTTTACATTTGTCTCCCTGTGTCTACATTTGTCTCCCAGCTCTGGACTGCTGTGTCCGCCTCTGCCTTGCAATCCTTTACATTTGTCTCCCAGCTCTGGACTGCTGTGGCCGCCTCTGCCTTGCAATCCTTTGTCTCCCAGCTCTGGACGTCGCAAGCTCTAGTTGCAGAGTGTTCCGATATTGAAAAACACAAACTGTTTGGGGTCTACGGTGGTGTAATGTTGTTTTCTGGAGCCACATGGCTACAACATGCTACATCATGCTACCTTTTAAACACTACGTCAATGCCACCGCATTGACCCTTCCTTCCACCACTCAATTGTAGGTACACATGCCTATTGAATCAAAAGCGTTTGGGAGACTTACCTGGGAGGCTCCCAGCTCTATGGTGGGTCGTGACCCCTATCCCCATACCTGTATTCATGTATTCAACGAACCAAGGCCACAAGCTAGCTTTTTGGACAAGGCCATCCGAGAAGTGGCGGGGTGGTGGGGCCCTTGGGGCCGCTGGGGGCTGTGCACCTGCCAGGTGGCGCTCCCCCAGGGCGTCTCCTTCGATGCCGACCAGCAACGCTACACGGCGCCCGGAGCGCGCGCACCTCGCGCCCGTGAGTGGGTTCAAGGGAGTGCTTCCGGAAGGTTCGGGTGAAGTTTTGTCCAATTTCCTCATATTTGCTCTGATAATTAGGCCAGGGATGTGTTCCAGCAGAGTTGAGGCCTCCAGGTTGAAACTTGTTGAATCAGAAAGCTGGGCCTTTGAAAGGAATGACCTGGAATGACACATATCTTTCACTATTGGTTTTGTGACTGATCTGGGGTATTGGCCATATTGCACCGGAAGCAACATGGAATGTGGAGCGAACAAATAGCAAACAGAAAGGCAAAGTGCCCAAAACCCCATCGCCAACATAGCATATGTATAAAACTGCTGATTCCAATACGTACTCTTGTGATATGTTTGTGATGCCTTCTACTATACGTCACATTCTCACAGTTGCTCCCCCAAGAAATGGCTCCCCAGTGCTCCTGTTTGGATCGCTCTCAGGGGCTTTCCAAGGATCCAGACCTCCCCCAAACCTGCCAGCTACAACGACCAGGTCATGCCAGTCTTTCATGCAAGACTCATGATTTCACGGCCATTCCCAGACACTCCATGTATGCCATATATGCCTACATTGACCCCCCAAACCACCCCAATGTAGGCATATATGCCATACATGGAGTGTCTGGGATTGGGCTAGGACTTCCGACCTGCCAGCGGCACCCGCTCTCCGAGCTCTCGGTTCGCGCGGCTTCCGCGGCTGAACCCGCGCCAGGCGACGATCCGCGTGGGCGGCCGCTTCAAGAACCTGGGTTTGTTCCACTCGCCGGAGGAGGCGTCGCCGTGACCTCCGAAAAAGGAGAAGGAATGACTGGACCGGACTGGACCGTCCTGGCGGCCCCGGTCGTCCGAACCGAACCGAAACGAAGGTACGACTCAAGGTCGGCCGAATGGGAGGATCTTTCAGATGGTGGTGCGAGAGTCTGCTGGCGTGTGGGAGTTCACACCATCTTGAGCCCTGTCTCTTCACATTTTGTTGAATGATGTTTTCTGGAAGTTGCTGAAGGTCATCACGGTGGTCTTTTTCTGCACTCAAATTTAGAATCTGTTGCTTGATTCCCTGTTTTCGACATCTGTTGTTTGTCCTTCAATATGTGAGCCTGGGCCTGCCTACTTGACCTGCCATGGTTTTGAGGTCGAACAATACTTGCCGGGCTGATAGAAAGAAAGCCCCTTGCTTGTTTGCGACATTCCGTTTTCATCGGCCACTGCATTGTCTTGTCTTTGTCGTTGTTTCTTTTATAGTAAAAAGATTAATTACAATCAATCACCAGCACCACGCAAAGTGAGGGTGGTTTGTAGACCGGGTGCAACGAATATTTGTTTCAGGGGCCCTAGGGGTCCCATGGTCCCGTTCGTAGGTCCCATAACTCTTCCCATTCGGAGAGGTGGGGTCGAGCTGAGAGGTGGAGCTAGACGACGATTCACTGCCCTTTTCGTTGGTCCATGTCATGTGCTGTTTCTCTTCAGATGCCTTTGCGTGACAGCTGCTAGGTGTTACAGTTTACAAAAGATGGTTGTACACCCTACCCAACAAGTGCTTTGGCGCCAAATCGGTGATCATCCGTCATTTTGATGAGCACTTGTCACACCGCTGGCCGGGTGTGGGGCTGCACTCCGAAGACCAAAGTTGTCAAGGCGTTTGAGGCCAACCCACTTGTGCCAAGTGGATGACAGTGAGTCGATGGGCTAATGTGCTCACTGGGCGCTTGTTGGTGCAATGCGAAAGTTTCGCGAGGGAGCCTGACAGGCGATTCCCCACCAACTCGGGGGGGCATGGAGGGAAGGCCATGTCCCTGGTAATGCGTGATCGTGAACGACTATGCAGTGGCAGGTTTAACTCGCCGCGTTTCACTCAGACTTTTGACAACTGTGTGTTTGAGTGTTCATGTTTGGTTTGATGCTGCGACATATTCGCCTGAATGTGATTGGAAAAGATATGGACAGAATGCAGTATGCAGAGATCTGAGTTTGAGCCCATTTCTTCTTATACAATAGCCTGTTTTGAGTCCTGCTCGTTTGTCTTTCTATTTTGCCGGCATGCTCCAAAATGAGTCAATTTGCGCAGAAGGCAAGACTTTGCTGGTCTACATTGCACAGTCCAACATCTAGTCCTGTCCACCCTATAGAGGGCATGGAACAAGCTATTATCAATACTCCTACCCGCACATATGTATGGATGGTTCTGCGTGACAGCTTGGGTGTTGGACTTCACGGAGACAGTCGTGGGCACTGTCTCCTCACTTGTCATGTCGAAGGATGTTTGCACGAAGTTGCTGACAGTCATTGCGGCACTCACTTGAAGCACATTTTCTTGATGCTGTTGTTTCTGATACCTTAGAAGCTGTGACAGCTGCTAAGTGTTACGGTTTACTGTGGTCGTGCGCCCTACCCAACAAGTGCTTTGGCGCCAAATCGGCGATCATTTGTCATTTGATGAGCACTTTGTCACACCGCTGGCCGGGTGTGGGGCTGCACTCCGAAGACCAAAGTGGTCAAGGCGTTTGAGGCCAACCCACTTGTGCCAAGTGGATGACAGTGAGTCGATGGGCTAATGTGCTCACTGGGCGCTTGTTGGTGTAAAGCGAAAGTTTCGCGCGGGAGCCTGACAGGCGATTCCCCACCAACTCGGGGTGCATGGAGGGAAGGCCATGCCCTTGGTAATGCGTGATCGTGAACGATTATGCAGTGGCAGGTTTAACTCGCCGCGTTTCACTCAGACTTTTGACAACTGTGTGTTTGAGTGTTCATGTTTTGTTTGATGCTGCCACATACTCGCCTGAATGTGATTGGAAACGATATGGACAGAATGCAGAGATCTGAGGTTGAGCCCATTTCTTCTTATGCAATAGCTTGTCTTGAGTCCTGCTCGTTTGTCTTTCTATTTTGCCGGCATGCTCCAAAATGAGTCAATTTGCGCAGAAGGCAAGACTTTGCTGGTCTACATCGCACAGTCCCACATCTAGTCCTGTCCACCCTATAGGGCATGGAACAAGCTATTATCAATACTCCTACCCTCACATATGTATTATGGATGATTCTGCGTGACAGCTTAGGTGTTGGACTTCACGGAGACAGTCGTGGGCACTGTCTCCTCACTTGTCATGTCGAAGGATGTTTGCACGAAGTTGCTGACAGTCATTGCGGCACTCAAATGAAGCACATTTGCTTGATGCTGTTGTTTCTGATACCTTAGAAGCTGTGACAGCTGCTAAGTGTTACGGTTCACTATGGTCACGCGCCCTACCCAACAAGTGCTTTGGCGCCAAATCGGCGATCATTTGTCATTTGATGAGCGCTTTGTCACACCGCTGGCCGGGTGTGGGGCTGCACTCCGAAGACCAA